AAATATTGCGAGGAGTTTGCGTCTTCAAGAGGCGTTTTCTGTGCACATCAGCAGCCAGATGATGAGCCCACAGTGTCAAAAAGCATAAAATAGAAACATTTCTTTTGACTTGTTCATAAAACAGCATAGAGGGGTTTTGGTTTGCAAGGGTTTTGTTTTTTCCTTAATTTAATCCACACAAGCAGAGAGCCTCCATCGGTTAATAACTTCTCCTTTGATTTTTAGGTTCAAATAAACCAAAACCTCACAGCAGAGCTCATTAAAGTGCGTTGAGTTTCATCTCCACTGCATCACACACATACGTTGTGCAGCTGGAGCTGCTCTCCCAGGGCTGGATCCCAAATTTACCTTTTAGCCACTGTTTTCTTGGTACGTTGCCACACGCCACCTTGAAGGGGCAAGGAGCTGTGATTGAAACAGTTTGTTTGCATCATTTGCAAGCTGTGGCACCAAAAATTTTAGGCTGTTGCTGACCAAAAGCCTTTCTGGGCAAAAACAGAGACAAAAAGGAAATGCAAACCTATTTTGAACCGGAGCCATTAGGAAAGGAAGGCTCTGGAAAAGTGCCTGTGTGACCAGGAGGGAAGAATGGTGACATTGTCTGAAAGTTCACTCAGGAGTTCATCTCCTACCTTGGTTTTTAGGAGAGCCTACTTTGGGAAATACCATTTAAGCTTCTCTTAAGTGAGGAAACCGCGGTGTCAATTGTGAGCACAGCAGAGATTTGTTAGGACTGGTCTGGTTTACAGTCCCTGGGTGTGGGAGAGAACAGACTGGGCAGCAGGCAGGGATTTTACAAAGCGGTGGCAGTCATGAAAATAGAAAAACCAGGAGAAACCCCGAGTTCAGCCATCACACAGCGGCTTTGTGCCACTGCCGGCACCAGAGGCTCTGCAGCTCCTTCCCTCCTCTTTAAAAATGCCCTCATCCTGGCATTTTTTCCCCTGAATTATCCCCTCTGTATTCTTCATTATGTTTTTTGCTACCCTGAAGAACCTCTCCTGCAGGTGCAAAGCTTTTTTACACACTCAATGGGTGACCATTTTATGTACGAGAGATCCCAAACCTCTTCAGATGGGCCCTGGGATTTCTCTGCTTCAAAACAGACTTAAAAAATGCCTGCCATCAGAACACGGCTCCGCAGCCTCTCGTTGCAGTCGCAGACCAGTGTTTTTAGCTGGCAGGTTGCTGTAAAATGTTTGGAAAATGGCTTTGTTTTGGAAAACCGGCACTAAAATGAGGTCAACTTTATTTGCGCTCCCAGGAAAGCTCTGGTTGGAGGAAAAGAAGTGGCGAGCGTGTGATGTACATGAGCTCCCCGAGCGGTGCTGCCAAAACCTCACAGGCTCCCCTTTGTAGCGGGTTGTGGGAGTTAGTGCTGGGTGAGTCACACAGACACATGGCAAGGGCCCTCTGCATCTCCCAGCGTGAATAAAATTGCCTCTTGCCGAATTTAGGGCTGTTGGCTGGCTTGTACACAAGTCAAATATGCTGCTTGGTAAAGGTGAAACGTCCTATATGTACCTGTGACGTGTTTTATGTTTGATAATAATGCTTTGCTGGCAGGGGGTAAGGAAAGAGTTAAGCCAAGAGAAAGCCCCAGATGCTAAAATTATCTTCCAGCCCACCACCCCCTGCCCACAGCTTTGAAATTTCTAATCACAACTTGCAGTTAGAGACAAGGATGATTTCTGATGATTTCTCCTAGCGGCGCAAAGCCCCTTTTGATCACTGGAAATCGCAGATGGCTGGAGGGATTCTGTCTCCTTCCTCGCTGCCTTCTGCTTCGCCTTCCTTCCCCGCCCAGAAGTGTCTGTTTTCAGGTCAGCTGTGAGGTTGTGTTATTGCTTGCTAAAGCTGAAGCAGATTTGGTCGCTGAAAATACTTCCAAGGCCTGCAGAAATGCGTGTGGTGGTAAAACTCCATTGGGATCACCCCTCGCAGCCAAAATACCCACCTGGATTTATGCACAGAATAGAGACAGCGGTTTTTAGGCTTTCTGTAGTCCTGCAAGTCTTGTTTGTTGTTTATTAAATCTACATTTAAAGAAAAAAAAAAACAAGCAACAAAACCACTCACAAGCAAGACAAAAGCGGTTTTTATTATGGCCTTGAATGATTTCAGTGACCCTGTTTACAGTGAATTGCACAGCTGATCTGCAACTGGAGGCAGGGGACAAGCAGGACCTGTGTTACGAGCCAGTGGATAATGCGTCCCTGTAACTACATCTTATATCTGCAATATTCTCAGTGCAAGTGATTGCAAAGCTTAAGAAAATAGACTTATTTTGCACCCTCTACAAATGCACACTCCCCCCCTCCCAACCCAAAAAAGTTGTTTCTGGGTACGTAGCCCTCTGCCCCAATTCCCGCAAACACCAAACCGTAGCCTGCAGCACGTAGCAGCACGAAACTTCTCCAGGGAAACTGGAAATGAAGTTAACTATAAACTTGGCTCAAAAAGGGAACTCTTTATGAGATGGGTTACATTTTACGGCCCAAGTTGGGTTGGTTTTTTTTTAATGGATAAGCAGCATTTTTAAAGCCCTTCACAAGTGAAAAACCTCACACTAAAGATTTTACTCTCTTAATTTCAAAGCAAGTTTAGTTTTAAATCAGGGAAACCGAGGCAGAAAGCCAGGGTGAGTCCCTCGGTGTGCTGAATTTTGGGAAGCTGTGCCTGCCTCATCCTCTGCAGCGGCTCCCTCGTGTACATGCAGAGCGTGCTGGCATTTTTTTTTTTAAATGGCATGCATTTATCTGATGAAGAGGCATGTAAATTTAGATGCAAACTCATTTCATCCCTCGGGGTGCTTGGCGCGGTGCCTGGCGCGCTCTCGGTGCTGGAAAAGCCTGCGCACCACCCTTGCTCTGAGGGAAACTTTCAAGCGCGTCATTCTTCTTTTTTTTTTCCCCTTGTAAAGGTTATTGTGCCTCAGCCCTCCCTGGTCCAGAAAAGAAAGGTTATTTTTCCCAGTATTTTCCCTTTGGTCACTAAAAATGTCCCTTGCAGGGCCACTGCTATTTAAGGATGCTCCTGTAAAACCCATTTGTGTTGTAAATACAGTGGGAGTGGTCACAACAGAAAGAGAAGTTGCCTGAGGATGCTCGCTGTGGCCTGAAATTCTTCCTGTGTTGTCTCCAGTGATTTGAGGGGTGGCTGATTACTCTCTGCTTCCTGCAAACCCAAGAAAGGACCATCAATATTTCATATTTTGGAGACGCGGTCGGGCTAAATATAACTGCTGCTTTTTTAATGACGAGCGTGCTGCGAGGAGCTCGCTGGCTCCCAGCGCTGGTCCCTGGCTTTGGCCTCTCCGCTGGCTTTGGGTCTGATCCCATCCTCACCATTTTCCTCCCAATTTCACCCCTGGATGGCTCTGGAAATGGTGGGCAATGGGGCCCTGGGGAACCAGTCCTGCCTATAGGAAACCTGGAGAATTTGGTGGCATCATGAGGAGCTAATGAATCCCCCAGGGGAATGAGCTGAGGGGGATGATGTGAATGTGCATCCCTGGTTTGCCCTTCAGCAGCCCCATTTCTGGTGCCATGAGTGTGGTCAGGATCATCCCGAGGTTTAAAGACAACATGCAAAAATCCCCTAAAAAAGAGTAAAAGCACCTAAATAGTTCAGTTCAGAGGAATGTGGTTTCACCTCTCCCGAGGCATAGTCTCCCTCTTGTCAAGCAGGGAACTTTAAATAGGGATTTGGAGCTGATGGAAAGGGGTTTTAGAACACTGCATATTGAGCCCCTTCAGGAATCCTGGATCCTAGGTGTTCCCTCCAGCCAAAAAATCCGTATATGGTGCCAGTCACCTTGTGTAGGGGTATGCCAAGCCATTACATCCTCTCCTTTGTTCATGGAGAAGCATTTGTTTTAGAAAAATGTAATATAAAGGCGTTTTCGGCTCAGGCGTGAAGTTGATTTGCCACTTAAAACCTGCTTGGCTCTAAGTGGGACTTGAGTGGGGTTTTGTACCTCATTCAGGTTGTGTGTGAATTGTGCCCATTAAAATCTTGCGTAAATTAATAAAGGGAAATATTTGTTCTACAGTTTCCCTATGAAAGCGCTCTGAATCTTCAAGTGCTCAGAGCTGTTATTATTTACAATAAACGGATTGTTTTCACTAGGGATTTTGTTTATTTTCTCTGATCCAACACATTACCTTATCTCCTGTGAGTACGGCATCCACTGTTGTATGAACAACCCAGGCTTTATACAACAGCCCGGTTAGCGCTTGGCCCATTTCCACCTGGTTCACATTTCACAAGGGCTCCCAGAAGGAACTGAAAGTTCAAGTAACTTTCCCATGGATTTACCCTTCAGGGCTGAATTGTTTTGCCTATGTGATTTAATATCGGCAAGAAATTTGCAGCTGGAGTAATGTCCTACCAGAGCACCTTGAATGCCCTTTTCGATCAGATCATCTCCCCTGTTTGAAAATACCTGGTGGGATTTGTTGTCTTCACAAAAAGTACAGTCTTTGCTTTGTTTTCCATTTCAAGTGTGGAAATTTCTTGACCCCCCCCTGTTTTCTGTTTTGTGGAAAGCAAGGTGTGCTTCAGGTTGCATTTTATCATCGCTCCTGCCCGTGGAAGTGGGTGTTTCTGAATACTGTGGTACTTGCAGAGATTTTCTCTCACTCACCCTGCTTGTACTCAGTCAGGCTGTCACAGGGTTTGCTGCTTTTTGCCTCCCTTTAAAACACATTTCCTATCTAAAATTAGAGCTATGCCCTCAAGTTTTGTGTATAAAATGTATTTTCAGAGTGATTGGACCTGAGAGGAGCCTTCCTGAACTCCCTGGTACCTTTGCATTGCATCTGAGACAGGTTGCAGCTTCTGTGAGCAGCTACAACCCACACTGTGCAGAGAGGGACAACATTGATCTTTTTATGGGGCTTCAGCGTGTAAATCATTTGAATTCTGAAACAAGCGCTCCTCTGTTTTACACAGGACTCCCTGTGGCTGCAGGATCTCACCAGGATGTCCTTGGTTTTGCAGGTAGCTGTATCCAGCTGGGTGGCAGGCGGATCCAAGGGTCACCATGAAGTTTTCAGGACCCCTGGAGAGCCAGAGGTTGTCTCTCCTGCTGGAGACGGCAATCTCTAGGGAAGCTCAAATGTGGAAAGCACATGTGCCGAAAATTCAGCCCAATCAGGTAACGTCTCTTCTGCACAGCATTCATCTTAGTAAAGGCATGAGATCTGTCTTGATTCTTTAAAAATGTTAATGCAATTATTGTCAAAGCTCACCAGACCAGTGGTTGGTTTTTCTGGCAAACGAGGAACTGCTGTTGTTTTGTAGGAATAAATATGATTTTAAGGGGCCCACTGTTAGTTTTGTTAATCCACATTTAGGTTTCCAAGTAAGCGACCTGGTCATCAGAGGTGTTGAGTATATTGGAGCTGTGGCTGTCTTGGGGCCACACACAATTTCAGCCCCTGGTTTGTGGCAAACCAGCCTGCTGTTCGTGCTGACAGTGTTGGTGATTTTTCTTGGGGTTGATGATTTTAACGTGGAGAGATAAGATTACAGTAAAACAAGACAAGTTAGGAACGCTGAGAGTGTAACCGAACCAGGCTCTTGTGTGAAGATTTCACAGGGACAAAGCCCTTGTGTGTTTTTGCCTTGTTTGAAGTTGACTCTGGTGGCTCAGAAAACACCACCTGCATTTGATGCTCTTCCCAGCGATCCCTCCCTTGTGGGACTGCGTTGTCACCCTTTGAAGATGAGGTTCCTCACCTGTACCCTGTTCAGATCGTCACTGCAGCAGCAGGACTAAGCTCAACCCTGTCTGTGGTGGTTACCCTGCTGCCAGGGACCTTTGTGGGAGTGTTCATGTCATTGCAGCACCTCCTGAAGTGAAGCGGGGCAGGCAGCTCTGCTGCCTGCTGTGAAGTCAGAGCAGGATCAGGTATGGAGACAGCCCCGTGGCTAAACCCAGTGCCAGGTTTGTGCTCAGCAGCAGAGCCTTGGTTCTGGCTTGAACAAACACCAGGTTTGTCCTTTCAGACTGCAGTTATGTCGGGATGATGAAGGAGCTCTTCCTGCTCCTCCCGTGCACTTTGGTAACATTGCTGAGGTCCGTGCTTGTTGCCCTGGGCTTCTGCTCCTGCCATTCCCACCCCCAAAAATGTGTAGTCTTTGTAAACCTTCTGTTTGCCTGCACGTCTGTTCAGACCTTCACTTTATCAGCTAGAATGCTGTAGTATGAAGTGTTTTCTAGCAGTAAATAACCATTACACTGGATTGAAATCACTGCGTGCGTATGTGTAAAACGTACAAAGGTCGGGTTTTAAAACAGAACATAAACACAGCGAGCTGCTCTGGGGAAACCCTGTCACACAGCCCAAACCCCTGTGTCTGTAGCCATGTAAAACACCTCTTTCTGTTCCTACAGTTCTTGACACCCAACTGCCACCCGTTCCTGCACTCCTGCAGCGTTCATTGCGGCAGTCACGGGTGCTCAGTGTGAATTACCCGATTTTCTGTGCTATCCTGAAGAAGGTCACAGTCCCCAGCATCTGCTGCCTCCTTTGGAAAAACAACCACGTTAGCCCAAACCCACACTCGTATGAAGGTGGTGTTTATTTCCCATGACAGTCAGGAAACCTGCATCCTTCTGCCCATCAGATCTGTGACCCGCAGCACGTGTGACTTTCCATTCCTTGCTGCACAGGCAGCCTGGCGACAGCGAGGGCTTTATCGGAGTCAGCAAATGAGGAAACGTGAGTGGGGATACAAAACAACTTCTGGTCAGAGCGGAGGTGCACCATGACTGTTTTTTTCAGGAGTAAACTTCCAGTTCTGACTCTTTAGGAGAGCCATTTTTAGCTCTAATATTTAAAACCCAAACAAATTCAGTTTCTAAGTATGTGTCACAGTTGACTTCTTTAAAAGGGAGAAAGTAACTCTTAGAGAAACAGGAAGACTTTTTATTTTTAGTACAGGATGCAGAATCTGCTGGGGGACTTTGGTCCTGATAATGCGTGTGTCTTTTTCTGTTTTGCTTTTACTTTTTGCCTGAAAACTCCCATTTCCTACTGGTGTGTGTATTTCTTTTAATTCTTTAAATGTAGGCCACTGGCTCTGAGTATTCACAGTATCAAAGCCAGATTTCACAAGAGCTTTTCCACCTGGAAACACAGGTGGGCTGAGCCTGGACCCTCCTTGTGCTCTTGAATGTGTTTGGTCTTTTATTTTGTCTTTTTTTTTAATTCCCCTTGGGTTATACACTATGCAGATGACATTCACAAGTTTTCACGTGATTAATGCTTGAGAAATCAAGCAGTAAAGACTGGGCAAAGGTTGATTTCTTTACACGCTACTGAGTAACTTTGCAGCAGAGCGGTGTGTAAGCAATGTTTATTTTTTTTTACAGAAACACAGCGTTTCTCCTTTCTTGTGGGTTCTAGTTCTTTATTTCTGTCCTCCCATTTGTTCTCTGTACCTCTTGGAGAATCGTGAGACCTCAGTTTATTTCCAGTTTTTCCACTGTCTCACCACATACCCTTGTGTAGCTCTTTCTGGTGCCTGTTTTGTCAGGGACGGACTTACCATTTTTGTAAAACCTTATGAGATGAACACACCCAGCTCTTCTGATTCCCTGAGCAGCAATCTCTCTCCCCAGTGTTTGTGTGTGTTACTTGAGCTCTTTGCTGTACCCCTAAACCATATCCAAATCCTGTAAATCACCACTTCTGCACATTACCACGAGAGCCCCCCTCATTCCCAACTGGTACCAGTGAGAACCAACCCAGTGGTGTCAACTGGGGGTAAAACACACACCCCTGAGACCCAAATAAGGACCAGTTTGACTGCAAAGTTTCCAGTTGCCCTTTTCAGGAGCCTCCCAGTCCTAATAAAGGTCACCTGCTTGCTCCCTGAGGAGCCCAAAGCAGGACCAGGCAGAAACAAACAGGTGAGAGAGCAAAACATCCCTGTCTGGGACAGCAGACATGAGAGAAAATAAGTTATCAGGTAAGGTGTTTTTCCTAGATTAGGCAGCAATAAAACTGAGTCACATTTGAGTTCACAGATAATGTTTTTTAGACTGCATTTTCCAAAAGTCTCAGGTATTCTCAGAGATGATTTGTACTGCGCTCGCACTCTGGAGCCCTCACAACAGCTCTGTGCGCCTCTTGCCATCACCGAGGCCTCGGGGGCAGCTTTCTGCCAGAATGCCTAAGAAATAGGGTTTGGGAACTGATTTGAGAAATAACAACAGACTGCAGGGCTCTGGGGTGTGTGTTTGGTCTGGGGCCCTGTATTCCCTCCCGTGGGGAGAATCACTGACCTCTGGGGTTGCTCACTTTGGAGTGGTAAGATTAAAGACACCGAGTGTGGCACTCACACTTCATTCAGTGCTGTCACCTGCGGTCCTGTCATGTTATTTAAAATACCTGTTTGTGTCCTTCACAGAAACTTCCCGTGTGCTGACAGCATTTAAAGGCACGTTCTTCCATAGAGTGAGTGACAGACAGGGTATTTCTTGATAGGGAGTGAAGTAAATAATTGCAGGAAGCAGATCAATGTGACTTTATGTAAGGAAGAGAAGAGAAGCTGATGTCCCTCTGCTTCCAAACACATTTTGTTTGGAAGCTTGTGGTGTGCAGGGCTCTGTCCTTCACTCCCAACAGCCTCCTGATGGGTGGAGAAGTTTGTGTGCTCTATAGGTAGAAAAGAGCTGCAAAAACCTCTCTGTCACTTCCTGGAGGTGCCAAGCAGGATGGAGAGGGAGGAGAGGAGCACTGTTAGAGCGCCGGGGTGAATCTTGGGCTCTGCAGGAGCGTTCAGCCGTCGCCATCGGTACCACGCACAGCGCAGATGAAGGGACAGCCGTGATCACGCAGGGCAGTTTGTCTCAGTTATTCTAAGGCCGTGCAGCAGCAGCGCTGCGTCTCTTTGGCCCCCACCAAAGCTCTGTTGGGCACTTTTGCAAAAACACTTCTGAAATCCCCGAGGGTGGGGAAGCACCACTGGAGGAGATGGGTGGGTTGTCCTTCAGTCCCGAGGGCCATTGCTGGGTCTGCCTCGGAGCAGCCACCTCCAAGCTGGGTTTGGGTTAATTTTCCCCTAATTAAAGCCATCACACGAGGCTGCCGTGCTCCTCCACCCCAGGGGCTGAGTTCCGCAGAGGTGGATTTGTGGCGATAACACAAAGCTGGCCACACACAGATTGTGAGCTGCAGAAAGTACCTCCACACAAAGAGGAACCTCTGCTTTCCAGCCCAAAGGGAGTTTTTATCTTTCAGCCACCGCAGTGTCTCAGTTTTGCTTTTAATTTTACATAAGTAAGAAACAGTGACCTCACTGCTTAATTAATTTTACTGTGCTGCATTGCTTATTTAGGATGATACAGGTACATCTTCGAGGGAGAGGGATAAAGACCAGCACATCCATGGGGGAAGATCCCAGGACAGATTTTGGGAAGAGCAAAGACTGAGAGGCAGCACAGAAAGACAATATTCCCTTCCCACCCATGTTGTTTCTAGGGGAAGACCTAAGCCTTCTCCTTCTGCAAGGTGCAGGAAAGCTGTGTGTGTGGTTGAAATTCAGCTGCCGTCCAAACAGATCAATGGTGGTGACTTGGGCCAAAAAGCTAAAAAAACCAGACCCAAATCCAGCCTTTCTGAGGTTAAATTGTACCTGCACAGCCCCAGTTCACGGTTAACTGTACTCCTAAAGGTCTCTTGTAAACTGTTCAGAATTCTCTCTTTTTTTAACATACACCGAGCTAAAAATACCCCTGTAATTTGAAGCAAAAATAAACCTTTCCTCTCAAAACACCAGCTCCCTCCCTGCCCCCTCTTTGGTTTGTCAGGAGCTGTACATCCGCCTGGCACCCAGAGCTGGGCTTTTCTGTGCATCTGCGTGGTACTAAAGAGGTTAAAATGAATAAATCTCTTTGGGCTAAGCTAGAGGACACCCTACAGACACCTTTCCTCTTTCCTCCAGCACACAGTAACACCTCCCAGTGATGCTTGAGGTTGCTGTAAATAAAGCTGTCTTTTCCAGGGCAGATTCCTTGGTAAGTACCTGCAGGAACCAAGTGGTGACTCGGGCTGGCGTGAAGCCCCCCCCTTTGCAGACAAGGTTTTGTTTCTGTGCAGAATAACTCCTGCAGAGGTGAAACCTTTGGTGTTTCTGACTCGCTCAGCCTGCCTTTAAGAGCAGTTTGTTTTTCTCTCCAACAGGACGTAGCCATTTCTCCAAAGCAGAGGGATGAGGTCATTCAGTGGCTGGCCAAGCTCAAATACCAGTTCCACCTTTATCCAGAAACGCTCGCCCTGGCCATCAGCCTTTTGGACAGGTTTTTAGCTGCAGTAAAGGTAAATATTTGCAGATACCTGAACTGAAATAGATTCAGAACGCCCCCCCCCTGCTATTTCTGTGCACAGTCTGAGCCCTGTGGCTGCATGGAAACGCTCACTTCCCCTGTCTGCTCTCACACCCTCTTCCTCTCTCACTCACATACAGGATGCTACCTGTGCTACTCCAGGAGCTTAATTTTGGGTTGTCAGGCACTTCTGGAGGTCGATTCTTTCCACAGCCACTTTTCAGTGGAAATAGCCACTGCTTTACTGACAACACACAGGTTTTGGGGAACTGCCTCGGTGCTCATACCGGCCAGGAATATTTCCCTTTATTGCTCTGTTCTGCCCATTGTGGCTCCTTAGTGTAAATGTATATTAAACTAAGAGAAAAGCAGCAGCCTTCCTCTTCAACTACAATAACCTGGTGTTCAATGCTGAATTTGCCTCAGCACAGCACCTTCAGCAATCAGAAAAAGAGGCTGCATAGAGGTTATACCTTAGTTAAAAAGAGAAGTCTCTGCCTTACCCAAAATTGACTCCTAAAGCTAAAGAAAATGCTGCCTGAACCCAGAGCGCTCTGACAGAGAAGCGAGGGCAAGTCCCTGCTCACTTCCTAATTTCTCTGGTGTTTTAACTGCATTTAATCGCCTTTGAACCACCTAGAGTTGCTGTGAGCACCTGCTGGCAGTGAATGAGCTGCAAGGCACAAAGGTTTGAGGACGGGTTTGGGCCTGGCAAGTGGCTCGCACAGGGAAATGGGGAAAATAAACACAGGAAGGTACAGCCTGAGGCTGTATACCACAGAAACTGGTTAAAAAAGCTAGAAGTCAGCATTTTGGCTCCCTGCAGTCTGGATCTGCTGCTGTTCTGTCCCTGTAAGTCTGCCACAGAAGCACATTTGATGTGCTCGGGCTGTGTTTTGCACCCGTGTGAATTGAACAAACCCAAAACCCCCAAATTCTTGGTACTGAGTGGTGAAGTGGGGCTTTGGGCAGCCTTATCCCTCACCGTGTTTGCTCAGCTACAGGCCACGCTCAGCAAATCTGCGGTCTCATCCGCACGTGTGTCCCATCTCACCGCCACCACGGTTAGGTAAGCAAAACAGCTCAGGAAATCCAAACAGAAGGGGGTATCCTCAGCCTGTGCCCTTGCATTTCACTGTGACCGAGTGTGGGAGAACACCATCATCCTTTAACCTGCCCTCTGAATGTTAATAAATGGCAATAACACTTCAACTACAAGCCATGGAAGCTTTTAAAGGTGTTTTCAAGTAGCTGATTTACTGAAGTACTGAGATGGGAAACATTTAAATCCCTCAATAGCTAATGCCCTCCGGTATGCTTTTTCTTTCAGTAATTTGCAGCAGCCAAGCAGTCTGCAGAGAAAGCAGAGTATGAGTAAGAAGTTCACAGTGCTCCAGGCAGCACAGGAATCTGAAGGTGTTTTGTCAGGGCCAGCACTGCTCAAACAGCTTAGGGCTCTGTGCTCCCTGCCCCACTTCTCTCCCATAAAGCCCTGGTTCCAGCTCAACTCAGGGATTTTACCAGGGATTTCATCATTAAGACACCCAAGTCCCTTCCCTTCACCCTGACCACACTTTAAAGCAGCCTGGCTGCCCCGCCGGCTGTTGCTCAGTTACGCTTCAGAGCGCAGGCAGCTTTGCTGTAGCTCACTGCACAGCGTTAACCCTCAGCGGAGCGGCCTTCACAGCCACACCGAGGTGGGCGAGAGGCTCCCATGGGAGACTGGGGTGCACGGTGACTGGGTTTGACACATCTGAGGAAAGGACAGAGTTGTTCCTTTCTGGTCAGTCTCTAGAGAGGGGAAAAGAGGTGACTAAATGATCATTAAATGGGGAGAAAAAGCTTCCCTGATGGCAGGGATCTGCTCTAGGCATTGGCTTTTTACTCAACACGCAGACAGTGGCCTTTTTTGCTGCGTGTTTTGAGCTAACTTGACACCTCCCTTTGAAGCTGCCGCATTGGCAAGAACAAGTTCCAGTCTGGCCCCAGGGGAGTTCATTCTCTTTGCTTTCAGTGGCACCTGAATGCAGCAGCACAGTGTGCATGTGCACTCCCTGTCCCCAAATGTGGCTCCTCTGCACCCGCTGAAGTCTGGACAGCGTTAGGAAACAAGTGCTCTGGACAGAGCACAGTCCTGTTTACCTGCCTGAGGCTGACTGTAGTCAGAAGATCCCCAATTTGGACACGATCCCATATTCTTCTTGCTTTGTAGAAACAGGGTGCTGGATTTCCTGACAGCTTGAATGAGATCCTGCATCCTTCAACCACCCCATAGCCCCGTTTCATCTGCTAAAATGTACCTGGCAAGAGCTAACCACGGCAGCAGTTTAGGTTGTAGGTGGGTTTTCACATTCGGTGCAGGATTTCCACTTACCTTTGCTTTCAGCATCTCGTACTGTGGACAGGACCCGTTTGCAGTCGGTGCTGGAGTTGCTGGCACAGCTCTGCAGCTCTGAGGAGGTTCAGAAACGGCGCCTCGGCCTTTCCTACCCCCCCAGCCGCTGGGGAGCAGGGGGACACATCCCATTGCCCCTCTGGGGGTTGTGACACTGATGTTGGGAGCAAAGCCCTTTGTCACAGCCACATTGAGCCAAAACTCAGCAGATGCACCACGCTCGGAGCGGGGGCTTAGCCTGGGCCATCACAGCGACTGCCTGAGTACCCACAGCCCCTGCACGCCGCTTCCCTGCCACCCTCCACCCAGCACCCACACACAAAATAACTCCCTTTTCCTTCCAAATTTCACTTACCTTGCCTAAACCAACAGGACCAGCTCTCCCTGAACAATCCCCGGGCTGCAGTTATGAGAACTGCAGTACAAAATTACGTTAGTGGTGATATTTATGGGTG